TTTCGTTTAATAAATTACTTGTCATTTGTTTATCGCGCGGTAGATAGATATATACATAATTTAAAACTGAAGATACACAACTCTCCCCGTCGTGCTCGTCCCAGTCGGCGGCGGCGACGACCAATACACAAGTTGAGTTCCCTCGTTTTCTCGACGGAACTCGTGACTCCCTCGTGACTTTGTTGCAGCCATGCTAAATGCGCCGTGGATGTGTAACGAGAGACTGTCGGGTCTGCGGCCGTTCTTTTCGGCTCCAAAATTTGGCACACGGTGGATGATTTTAGCCATATTCGTTCGGGAAGGAGAGTCACCCTCGCCCCGCTGGCGCCGGCGCGACAGAAAGCTCGTATAATCGAGCGTATCTCCCCGCATCCAATCCCGGAATATTACGTTTCCTGCCAGAAAAGTGTCGAGCACACAACTCCCCCCCGTCGGCGGCGGCGACGACCAATAAACGATCCGTGAATGAAAATTCCTCAAACGCAGCTTTGGCGGTCTCGCGCTCTTGTCACCTCAATTTTAAGCCGAAGGATTATATATCTTAATTAAGCGCGTTTAGTTTCAAAATATCAAACTATTTACATAAAAGATTTAAATAAATTATAATATAGATGCAAACTTTAGAAGTTGACGGAGTTCATTAGAAGAAACGAGGGGAGTCTTAATAAATCCCCAAAAATCAGAATATTCTAAAGACGTTCATACTTTACATTCGACGTTTTCGCACTCGACGATAAATATTTTACTTCGCGATTGACTCACACCGATCGACGAATAAGTGTGACAGAGTAAAATAAAATCATCGCTGTCGTTAAAATAGATTGGAACGTGGAAGCTGTAAATTCCATCCGCTGGCCGTATCGGCGCCCGCGAAAACGATGGGATCGTAAAGAGCACCCGCGACTTCTTTTTCCCGTGGGATTTACTTTACGATACCGCGAAGGCCACTAATAGGCGCGCTCGACGCGTCCCGTCGACAGCGTCGATGCGCACGGCGGTGCCAAGGAAAGCTTACATACGTTTTCGTTGCCGGGAACAAAAAGGACACGAGCGAGAAATCGGCACGGTCGGCGGACCGGAACCATTCGCCGAATACATAAGCTCCGTTCGCGATCCGCGCTTGCCGCGCAATCGTTGAGACGAATATACTCGCAGATAAAAAGATAATCAGTTATAATATAAATTTGTAATACATATAAAATACATATAAAACTGGTCTTTTAATGCCGTACATTTTTTGTTAAGTTTCAAGAATATTTTAGAAGATACGCCAAAGTCGATTCTCCATAAAATTATTTTCAGAAAATTGTAAAAATATAAAAATGATTGTACAAAAAATATATATTTCTAATTAATAAAGATTATCGCTCGTATTTATCAAAACATGTAAATAGATTTAGACCAATAAACGAGCAAAGGATTTTGAGAAAGCGAAGGATGCGTTGGGATTTTAAATTTTTTAAAAAATATCCAATTACTGGCCTAAAAATCAACTTATATATTTCTAATAAATACACATAATATCTAGATGCAAATTTTAATAAAATAAAATCCTCAAATTTAGAAAACAGGCGACTCGATTCGCGCAACCGCGAGTTAAATCACTGGTTTCGTCCCCTTCGTGCAGGACAATTTACGACGGATAATTTACGACACGTTGGAGTATTCTGAAAAATTGTACGCCTCAGCCTTCTACCGGAAGTACGGTGCGAGAATCGCAACGATGACGACGACGACGATGACGACGATGACGGCGGCAACGGTTCCTCGGCTCGTTTGGAAAACTGAAACGCCGCCCCCCGCGCGACTGCGTATCCATCGTTTCCGTCGAAAAGAGCCGCAGAACGGGAATGAAGGAGAAGAGACAAGGACCAGCCTCGCTCTCACGAGGGATGCGCTCTACGTAGCCGGTGATGCGCGAGAAGGAGGGTCGTACGGTCGTCAAAAGCTCTTCGTTGCGGATTCCAGGCACAGAAAAAAAGTCACCCCTCGGGGGGAGGGGAAGAACGTGTATCGGAAGAAAAAAAGGGTTATTGCCAGCGTCGACTCGCGATTGGCCCGCGGAAAGGCTCGAGGGAGCCTCTACTACTGACTAATGTCGCGGATGACACCTTCTTATTTGGACACCAAAAATGGTTCCCTCATGGAACGATTTTCTCTCTCTTTCTCTCTTCCCTCCTCTCTTGCTCACTCCCGCACTTCGACGCAGATAAATCGTGCCTCTTGAAAAAACACCGCGCGAGTTGTTGCGAGCTGATATATGAACGCCCGATTCATTAAGCGTCGCCGATGAAGTATGTGTTAATGAAGAGAGAGCGACTTTCCTTTCCTTCCACGTGGAGAATGTTTATTTCTGCGTTGCGTGTTCGTGTATCGCGTTGAATAAATTAATCTAGCCGATCATTCGATCCTATCAAAACCCGTCCAAATTAGCGGCGAGTATCATTTTCGCTTAATTGAAAGATCGCAACCGAACTTTAATTAAGCTGTCAACATCAAATTGCGCATCGAGATCCTCGCTTGCGCCTTTCTCCTAAGTCATTATTTTAATTGATGTGCGCTTAATTATCAACCTGAGGTATTTTATCAATTAAAATTCTCGCTGCATTAATCATTGAGTAGAAGAAAGAGAAAGAACGGAATATATGGATGCAGCTTTGAAATGAATAAAGGGACCGCCAAGAGTGGCGCTCTTCTTAAACGGCTGCGGCGACGTTCGTCATTTCATTATCATTTCTTCGTACAGCTTAGAGCAGCTAGCAGCTGCTTCGCGACCGACGAAGTGCTGCGACCATCATTTCCGAAAAAAGTGCGAAGAGAAGAGAGGGAGAGAACTCGAGTCCATGCAGCTTTCCTTTCTCTTATACCTCTCTCTTTCCCTCTGCTTCTTTCTCTCGTTTTCCCTCTCCGTTTTTCTCCCTCGACCCGAATCATCGGAGATCCTCAACCATCCAGGTTAACCGCGAGAAAGCGTTATGGCCGTAGACACGCCTTCCCGTACAGGAAATTAGCTGCCGACAGGCGGTTCGAATTATAAATTTCTAGGGAGAGTCCCGTGTGCAGGAATCCCTTCTTTCGTTTCTTCCGCTACGCGCGTCTGATTCCATTTTATCGGAAACCTCAAAAGGACCGCACTCTCTCGCCGACCGTCCCTTAGAGACGATCATCCGGTCCTTCCACCTTGTAAAAAAAAATAAGCGAATTGAATGACATCGATAAGAATCCGTTTCTCAGAATTTATGTTGACTTTTGAAGTCAGAGATTCACTCACAAAAAAATTTTTGAGCTTTCCTTCTTCCTGTTGATTTTTTCTCCCTATTCTTTTAGTCATTTCTTCAATTAAATTAAATGTTTTAAATCAATTAATTGTAGAAATAATAATTAATTTTTAACAAGAGAGGATTAAAAGAAATAAATATTATAAATAAACGTTCGATATTTTCTGGGTACTTTGAACTTTACAGAGAACGTAATCTCAGATCTTTTTTTTTATACGTTTCGAAAATTCTTATTGCGGAGGAAGTCGAGTTTGACCTCAGAGTCGAAGGGCTCGCGAACGCTGGCCAAAGGCCATGCAACGTAACGTCACGGGACACTCTGTATATCTTTCGCGGGGTCTCCCAGAAGGATGTCAACGATTCGCCCTGTCAATCCCCGTGCGCCGGCAAAGGCTGACGATGACGTGAGACTCCTTTTACGCATAGGTAGGAGACTACAAAGTGCGCGCGTCAAGCCAGATGTCGGTGGAGCGGGCCCGTCTTTATGACTGTCAAGTTGCACGTGGACGAGAGAGCGACGGACGTGCCGCGAAAAGAAGCACCACGACCGGCGGGCGCGAGCGGAAGGGTAAAATGGAATCTAACGTCGACGCGGAGTCGTCGGGGACGCCCGTCGTCACCGTCGTATCGTCTATTTCCTCCTTTACTCGAGCGCCGATTCTTTCGCGAGAAACAACGCCGTGACGGAAAGCAACGGGAATCTATCGCGAAAGTTGTGCAAGCAACGGAGAAATTATGCAAAAACTTACGTTATAATATATTGTAAATTATATACATGGTATATTATGATACGAAAATTGATAGCATAAAGAGAATGTAATCAGCAAGAAGATTACGCTATTTAAAATTCTAAGCCTTTTTCCAAGTATTCCACGCAAGCTCAAAAATTCGGAATTTTTTTTACCGCAAAAACTACATTCTAAATATTTTGAAGATTGACACGGTATTGAAGTATAATTAGAAATAAGATAAAGTAAATTATAAGCATTTCAATTTCGAACGTAAACTTGGAATACTTGAAAAAAATTCTTGGAATTTTAGATAATGTAATCTCCTTACTGAATTCTCTTGACACTTTATCAATTTTCGAGAATCTGAATTTTCCCGATTCGAAATCTGAAATTCTCGAAATTTTTAATAATTTGAACGATGATGAACGTGACAAGGACGATTAATGGCACAGCCGATCGCGACAGGAAAAAAAAGAAGAATGCAAAAGAGGTGGGATACGCAATACTTCCGCGAATGTGGGTCACCAAAGAAGAGGAATGAATGGAGACAGTGTCTTTTCTGTTTACTAGCTCTGCTACTTCTACTATACTAGCAATACCAATTCACATCCGTGAACGCCACACAATTACCGAAGTGTACAAGTATCTCTCGTGAGAGACACATAGTATAGAAGGATAGTGGGAAAAGGCTGTGTTTCAGAGTAGCCTTTGCATGCGGTGGATAAACAGAAGCGCGAGAAAAATGGAAAACAACAAGAAGTCGCGTTTGTTCGCAATGCTTTCGCGCGAAGATGAGAGAAAGGGAGAGGGCGATTCGGGACGTCGTGTGAACCGGATCTCTCGTCACCGCCAGCTGTCAAGCCGACGTGTCGTCTTCTCTCATCTCGCATACAACGCCGCGATGTCTTGTCTTGCCCGCCGGTATATACCGCGTACACGACCGACGGCACCTTAAACAGTTCAAACTAACTAACGTCGAAACAGTTCACGATGGTCAAAAAATTCAATGTCCTGCAAGACGAATCGAAACAAACTGCGGCAATTCTGTAAATTAAAGTGTTCTTAATTTCCAAGAAAACATATATTTAAACATCCTTTTTAATGAGACTATATTAATATTATATTATAATTGTCTTTGTGCGTAGTCAAAAGATTGATGCGTGACAATTTTAACGAAGAGAGAACGGAAGGGAGAAGAAATTAAGTCGAGGAGTCGCGGAAAAAAGGCGTAGTAGCCGGGCCGGGTACATTTATGGGACGTGTTTTAGCGGATAGTATTCATTAGGGAAGCCCGGTCCGCGCGTCATCGAGGTGTCGTAAAAAAAGGTTTATAAGAAAAAAAAAGGTCGGCCGATCTACGCGCGTGGGAAGCCGCCCGTTAAATGCGCGTCACTGATAATTCCGCAGACGCGGGCTCTTCTATTTCGGCTCTCTTATTGTTAGACATCTCGACAATTTTCTTGAACTTCCTGAATATTTTATTTTCTTCAGTGTTTATTTTTTTAATTTTTCGCCTATCCCTTCCCGCAGTTTGCCAAACAGGATCGAGCGATGTGGATCGATTTTACAACATAAAAGGTTTCCTCTGTGAAAACAATCGTGTAATAAATACATGGGACGACAGTCGTTTGCCTTCAGAATGGACAGATTTCGAAGAAGGACGAGCATTCCTTTTTTTCCTCCCCTACCTTTGTTCCGCTCATGAAAGATGGTCGATCTGTAATATGGTCCGGTCGTCGAAGAGCCTCAAGAGAACGGGAGTAATGTCGGCGCACGGAAATGACGCGACGATCGACTCGTCGCCGTATTATTTTCGCCGCACCACCAGAGAATCGGTCAAGCCGCAGGACGATCGTGCAACGCCGAGCCAAAACGGTTAGCTTCCTTCTTTCATTCTCTTTGAAATCCTTCGATTGCAGCGCGCGTCCATATATTTACCAGTCGAATGGGTCCCCAATAACCGATATATATCCTTAGATGAGAGTAAAGCTCGCCCAAAATCCATTTTTCAAAAGTACGGTACGGTGTCCTTCTTTCAATCTCCTAGTCGATTTGTAGGTTTTGTCTCGGTTGATCTTTATCCTCCGGAGCATAAACTTTCTGACTTTTTTAAATAATAGATTTAATACATTTGACGAGACATTGCTTGATTTTCGTACAGCGGACGACAAACCCTCGATAATTTTAACGATTGGGTCGTCCAAGGGGAGATACAAGTACTGCGCTTGCTGCCTCGCTGGGATGCTGACGATCCTGTTGTGCGTCGTAATCGGCGGGATGCTGTTCCCATATCCTCTGCACGCCTCGTGCATTGTTAAATGGTAACTATTTTTTGTGCCCATTTAAGACACGAACGGTTCGTCAAAATGACGAATCGGCTTCGGAAAAACGGACATGAGCTTTGGCTCGTTATTCGATTTTCTTAAATTCAAGCATGGTGTAAGTAAGTATAAGTAAGTATAAGTAAGTAAGCATGGTGTATTCATGGTGTATGATAACACCATGAATTCAAGCGAGTTTTCTTTTTTTTATGAAATCTTAACATCCGAGCACAATTGCCGCAATATTCAGAAAGCTAAGAAAGTTCGTAAGAAATATCGCGCATATAGCCGAATTTCGTCGTTTCTTCGCGAACGAGCAACGCGCCATTCGCCAAAAGCTCCCACTAAACGGAAATAGATTGAAATTTTAAATCATGGATTGACTTTCGTAGAAATGAATGTATTTCTATAAAGGCCAATCCATTTCAATGCATGAGCAATGTTCCAATTCATTTAAATTTAAAAAAATATATTTTTTAATTTAAATCCATTTCCGTTTACTGGGCTGTTCGCCAATTACCGAACACTTGGCCGTCGAAGTAACGATGCAAAACGTCGGCATTTTTACGGAACAGGTCCCAGAGAGCTTTTCGGACGGATTTACATTCCGCCACAGCTGCCGTTATCGTTTCCCTTTTTTTTTCTCCTTCGAGCATCGAGAGATCGGATCCCTTTCATCCTACGGCAATAGCTAATGCGAATGATCGTCGCGTCGTTTTTACGAGTACTGGAGCTTTCGAAAAGTTTCTTTTGAAGCGACGTTGGCCCGCCGCTCCCTGTGACGCGTTATATACACAGGGAAACTCAATATCGCCGGCGCGACGTGGGGCTCGTATATTTTGCTTTGGCCGGGACGACACCGCCCGAAAAATATACGATCCGCGCTTTTCCGACTCCACGAGAGAACCGGGCCGCCGCCGCGCCGGCGCGCTCGCTATTTTATTACTCTCTCGCTTCGAGCGATCTTTTTAAAATTAACATTAAGTGTGTAGAAACGTCAGAATATTTTCTGTGTGGAGAAAAAATATAGTATATCTTTAAATTTTTTTCAAAGATGAATGCGTTTGAAAGAGAGTTGAAATAAATCGCAATTTAAAATCCGAAAATGAAAACAAAGTAGAAAAATCGAATAAAAACATACAAAGATAAAACGATTCCTACATGGAATTCCTTTTTAATATTCTATATCGAGCAATAAATATTTAAAAAAATAATTACTCTAGGAAGTTTGACGAACCGTGCGCGTCCGTGATGCAGAAATTCCGACGTCAGATATCGAACTGGTCTTCTTGGAACACTTGCCGGCAGCGTGACGGAACTTGTCTGTATACGGTGAGAATAAAATCTGATTTGTTAACTAGCGAATTAACGCTTGACTTTTATCGTTCGCGACAGCTCAAGCTACCTGTGGAGAATAACGTAATCAGAGCGACGCACAGGACATCGAATTTGAAGTCACTCGAGAGGCTCGAGATCGTCTTCGAGAAGATAAACAACACATGTCTTGCTAAAGTAAATTTTTAATCAAACGTGAAAATTATTTTCTACGCTAAATAAACGCAAATATAAATATTACGATTAATAAACGCAAATATGAATATTATGATTAAAAACGATATTACAAAAAAAAGCGTCGAATAACGCGGAATACTACAATCTCACTACAATCGCATTAACGCTCCGTGACGCGTTCTTTGATCGATTTGATATTATAAAGAACGTGCCAAATATTTTTTCCCGATAATTATACATATGTAAAACACACTAAAAATTAAATTACCAAATACTGGACTAACAAAAATATTATCTACCGCTTATGTAGGCTAACTCTGTTTCAAGTGAATGGTTTATGATATTCGATCACGGCACGAATTACTGCAATCTGCACAATTTGGTAGTGGGAGCCGGTCTCGACAGAAACGCGAAATTTCTGGAGCTGACGAGTGACGCTGTGTGCACGCAATTCAATATGGCAGTCTGTTTATGAAACAAGACATACCGTTCACTTGTGGTTTCTCAAAATTTATATATATAAATTTATTTCAAAGTTTATATATATATATATGTATAAATTATATATACATATTACATATTATATATATTGTACATATATATATAAATTATTTAAATATATATAATTTTGTATATTTACATATATATATAAAAATTGAAAATATTTGAAAAATAAATTTAATATTACAAATATAATGTATGTATACACATATACATGTAAATGCATTATATTTAGGATATATTCATTTTTCAAAATTTATACATATGTTGCAACATTTCGGCGAGAGCCGATACAAATTTGAAAAACCACAAGCCTTTTTATATCTATAATAAAAATTTATATTTATATTAATTTACAGAGTTTCATACAAGTGTTACAAGATCATTTATATCATAAGTTTGTACTTCAATATGTCATAAAATATTAGATTGTTACCTCGCTATAAATATTAAATATCACTTACATATAAATACAGAATTATTATTATTATTATTTATATGACTTGTATTATTTGATCATTGTGATTCAAGTATATTTCGATGCACCTACGAATCATCAAAAACCGTTAAGCCGTTTCCAATGGTATAGTTCGAATGGTACAAATTTCAAAATCAAACTTTACATAGTTCTAACCATTCGAGCTTGAAAATATACAAACAGTTTAAATAGTTCAATTTGATTTCAAATACTAAAATGAAATAAATATATTTTCTCATTAAAATGAATAGTATTTTCGCTCGAATTAATGTTTGAATTAATGCAATAATTAAAGCCTTAACTTAATTGAATTGATCAATCGTTAACTTTGCCGAACATTAACATTTTTACATCGAATCATTTCTACAATCGATCTCATAATAATTTACGCAAAATCTTTTATATCAGATTATAGAAATATACGTTCTTCACAATAAAAATAATCCATACTAAAAAACACAAAATTAATCTGTATTTTTATAAATGTATAAGACATTTAAAAATACATATTATTTTTGTGTATTTTTAAATATGTATTGTATTTATCATTGTGAAGAACGTATAATTCTACTCAACTACTGCTCTGACACAAAAGATTTTAAATAAATTAAGATCGAATCATAGAAATAGTTCGATGTAAAAATGTTAATGTTTCGGTGCGTCGAAATATACTTGAATCACAATAATGAAATAATACAAGTCATACAAATTAATTTAATTAACTAACTTAACTAGCATTTAAAATACATATATATATATATTCAAAATATTATCCAGATTAAAGTGATCTCGAGATCACTGTTGTATCATCAAAAGAATATGAAATTTATGTTAGTATTTACAAAATCGTAAAACGTACGCAAATTACTTAACTTTAACCAGATTTAATTATTAAACTATTCTTCTCAAACTAATTATTTCTCTCACCAGTACTTTGTTTCTCTGGAATTACTTTCTTATTAAAATATCGTACACTATATATATAAAAAATAAATATCCATTGCCAATTTTATAGCAATTATTATGTATATCTAATTATTACTTGCGCATTTATTGATCATACGATTAATCATGATCACCCATAACAGATGTGCCGGTGGCATGACGGTGGCAGTAGATCTGTCCGGGTGAAGCGAACGCCCGACATCTTCGGTTATTTCTCGTTAATGCCATACAAGAGACTTTCATCATCGGAGTACCACTAAAAGTGTCCCTCAGCTATTTTACGATTTCTTTTTTTTTAATAATTTATCTTCTCATTTGCAACAGTTATTTTACCTTCTGGCTCGCAGATCCATATTTTGCCGAAAATTCACAAACTTGTTGTCAAAATCCATTGTGTTATCGCTGTGATTTATGGAAGAATTGCCTCGATACTGCCATACGACGCCGTTAGAATCACACTCCATCGGGCTTTTCGCAATACCTTTCGACAAATTCGCGAATTGCAATTCGTTATGAACGATGTTCTCATACTGCTTCCTCGACGGTTGATACGAACAAGAGAGCTCCTCGTGCACATGTAAATTACGTCCGCCCCACGAAACGACCATCTCTAACAAGACACTAATTTTTTCTGGAAAAAAAAATTATCGAATGTTACAATAATCGTCGATCTATCTCTCTCGTGCAGTTTCAATCTTAAATCGGGGAAAATACCTCTATAGTAATTTGTCTTCGAAACGACGAGATTGTAAAGTTCTTGCGCTTTTTTCATCACTCTCGTGTGCAATTGCATTTTTGGCACAGAATTGGAATTCAACGACGATGTATTGTCGTGCGCAACTCCATTCAACTGGCTTTGCTGATGGATCAGCTTAATTAGCTCCGTCTTCGCTTCCGAGATGTTTGGTCCGTTGATCATACGTTGTATCCCCAGCATTATGAAATGCACTGCGTTAAAGAACAAAAAAAAAACGCGTCAAACGTAAATCGATGTAATACACAAAGTATTCGTATGCACAAATACTGTTTTCTCGTCTTCTATATTTATTTTATCACGCGTTTCGATATGCATACTCACTTGCGGTGATCAAGAATATTAACATCGTTATAGACATAAAATCTAGAGAAGCCTCCATGCCGTGTTTCAAGTAAGTTAAAAGATTCGCCGGCACAATGCCCAGGATAGTAGCTCTGGTTAAAAACGGTGCTTGTAAAAACGCGGCGATTATCATCGCCACTAATATATACACGATGTGTAAAAATACGCGATACGCTCTTTGCATTTGTTCACCTAAAAAAAATACAGAAATAGATATAGATGAAATAGAAATAGATAATGGATATGGGTGAAATAGAAATAGATATAAAAGTATCACATTATTGACATATTCCTAATTTGTAATTTATCCCTATCTGTACAAAAATTTTCAACATAACATGATCAACGTGAATATGTAATGTAATAAAATTAACAAAATTTGTATCATTATTTTACGAAGTCAAATCTGGCTGCGTTCCACTTAATGCTCGCAACGCTCACAAACATGACTTGTCCTTGTTGTTTAACATTTGATAAACAACAAGGATGAAATGATTGCACGAGCATTGCGAGCGTTAAGTGAACGCAATCTTTGTGGTATGTGTATTTGTTGTGGATCGATCTTTCTACGATAAATATATTTTATATAATAATATACCGGTGTCGCCGATGTAGTCGGTAATCCATCCCAATTTTTGATCAACTTCCGTGCGCATTGTATTGGTGAGATTCCAAATGTACTGGATGGTGTCGTTAATTTGCGCGAGCTTCTGCATCGTATGTTCAAACTGGTGAATAGTTTCCTCGTGTTGCTCCATTATATGATTAGTGCTGTGTTCGATTTTCTCCCAAATCATTCGCGCTTGTTCTTGTATGCTAAGCAAATCCTGCAATACCTCCCGATGATTCTCTCCACGCTCCATGGCCTGTTGCTCAAGATCGTTGTGCGCCTTTTCTAAAGAACATATTAAATATTATATATTCAGAGTCCCCACGTATAAGAGTAAAAAAAAAATGTATAAAAAGTTTAGTTTACTAACCTAATTTATTTTTTATTTCTTCCGTCATGGCGGCAAGTTGAGCGTGGCCGGACCGTATTAACGCTTTTTCATTATACAATTCTTTCAGATTTGTTGTCACAAGCTTGTGAGCTGTCGTTTGAGCGTCCTTCAAGTTCTCTTGTTGTGTCAGAAGCACCTTGCTTCCTTCACTCAACGATGACAGAGCTTCTGTGGTCTGCTCTTCCAAACGATCTTGACCTTGCTGTTTAATACAAATAATATAATGCCTTTTTAAGGGCGAACCAACGAATCAGGCTGAAGAAACGTGCAATTACTGTATTACCTTCAAGGAGTTCAATGCCTGGATCTGAGAATGCGCCGAATGCATTAGCTTGTTGACCGTCAACTCTGTAAGAGCACGAAATTGTGTATTTCGAGCTGCGTAACAAACCGCCCTCGCTCTGTTACTTATCAAGTGATACGCATTCCACATGTCGGCATCCATGTCGATTGTGCATTGCTTAAGAGACTAAAAAAAAAGGACAAAAATCATGCTTCTGTACTTACAGAACAAATTGAGTTGCGCAATTGTGATTCCGTCGCATGCATGCATTTTCTCAAGACTGCACACTTTTCGGCACTATTCATTAATTATTATTTATATTTTTAATTCTTTTCAATTAATCGAATTTATGCGATACGCTAAAGTATCAGTGGACAAAACAATTCGAACGCTAGAACAGCATATGCAACACCACGTAACTGAAACCACAAGCTTTGGGGAGGTCTTCTCTGAAGTAAAGGGAGGGGGAAGTGTGCAGGTTTGAACAGGCACGAAATTTACCCCCTCAATCTGACTCATTCTGCAGCATATCCTGTTGTAGTGTACTGACAATGCAGGTCAATACTAGTTGCGACTAACAAATAGGTAAATCAATAAGTTTTAATAAATAAACTGCTAGGCATGCCAGAGCCTTAAGCACTCATTAAAAGCCACAGAATATAATAATTAAATTGCGTTTTCTATATTATACATGTAATTCAATTATTCCTGCATAGATTTTGAGATCAATGGAACGTTGATAAGACTCGACCAACAAAGTGTAAATGGAAAATAACGGAAGTTTTTTTTGCACAGACAGGCCATGTTCCACAAAGTACCCACCATCTCTTCGGTGCAGGGGAACATCTTCCTGCCTTCAACCGCTGATTGGCAGTTAAGGAGATTGACACTCAGCTTGCCCAGCTCTTCCTCGGTCATGTCGGAGCACGAGGTCCTGATCTTCATGATGACCTTGTGCTGACACACCTGCAACGGGGAGGACGCCTGGATGTCCGTGAACTTGGAGGCCTCCAGGAGGAACTTCTCGTCCTCCGTCATCGACTCGTAAGGGATCGCGATCAGGGGCACGCCGTCGGCGACCAGGACGTCCGTGTCGTCCGCTTTCGTTCCCCACAGCCAGTCCAGCATGGATGCGCTTCCAACTTTGCAATTGAAGGACAAGACGAGTGTCACCAACAGAAGCCTGCACTTCATTTTTGCGTGCGATTTGATCTGAAAGAGGAACAAAACCTGGATAACTCCTACCTAAGCTTCGGCGTTAATTCGACGCCGAGAGGTGATGATGATCGTACTTGAAACTACTGTCGACGAGCCGTGAAGACAATCGATCAGGTGAGTAAATTACGCACGTTCCTGTCGACGTTACAAAAGCGCGCCACTAAAAATAGACACGAGTCGTCCGTTCCGTGGAACCGTCCGTCGTCCGCGTCGTGGAGAATCTCACCGGGGAGAATCGCGACGGGAGCTTCCTCGTGCACGGCAAGACTCAACGATCGCGAGTACTCGCGACGAACACGATCACGAGAGCGAGCGACGGTGAGGAGTCGTTCTCGCGGCCGTCTCGCGGATTTTAAACGCGATGACAAGTGTTTTTCACGTGTTTTCGTCCGTGCGCTCCAACGGCTGCGCCGCGTTCAAATCGCGCAGATGGCGGCACTGTGGCGGCCGGGTCAGCTGTCAGCTGCGCGGTCGCGATCGCGAGAACGTCGCAACGTACGATTTCCTCATTCCCACCCTGGTTTCTCCGTCGCGGCGCGACCACCGCGTGAGATTTGCCGTGTCCGAGCGTTCGGCTTCGCCGCGAAGCGAGCGTCGGCGTCCTCGAGGTGTCCGCGACGAAAATCACCTTGCGTGATTTCTTGCGCGTTCGACACGATGAACGCCGGCGCGGACCAATCGCGCGCGCGCGCGCGCGAACCGCGGCGACACGTGATTCCGACGAGGTTACTTTTTTTTTAGAACGACCGATCGTTTGGCGCTCGCGCCCGTGCTGAATCAGGATTTAAACACAGGGAGTCGAGTAGTCGCAAACTGCAAACTAGGTATACTTTATTTTCAACGCACAGTATTTCGAAACACACACACACACACACACACACGTATATACACACACGCGCGCGTGCGCGAAATGCACTTGTTTATGTACACGAAATCTTCGCGATATTCTATATCGCGTCGTGGTCTCCTCTTCACTTTTTTTCCGGCACGACCTCGCTGATGCCGTACATGCCGGCTAATAAACGCCCGTGCGACGGAGGTATCGGTTCCTTAGGCGGTAAATATGGTCCCTTTTCTCCCATGTATACGTATCTTTGGAATTTGTTAAGAAAAATTATGCAAAATTATCGAGAGAGAATCAAAGAAAATGAAGAATTTTCGTGCCCCTGTCAAATGTCAATATAATTATATATTAATTGTAGTATAATTAATGTAATTATAACATTGTAACAATTATTATTGACATAATATAATAATTAATAATAATTATTAATTATTATATTATATATTTATTAACTACGAAACTCTCAATGAGAATGCAATGTGACTACTTGCATTATTCAGCGCTTAAAATATACAATTATATACAGTTATATAAAGTTTCGTTATACACAGATAAGGATACGGTAGCCTTAAGATCCAATATGTGCTCTGGGAAAGCTTGATCGGCTCCTCACATCCGGTGACGAATATCGGGCAGGGCGGGGGACCAGGTTGAACCCTCGGGTTCAACGTGACGTGCACCGGCGCTTTAGGCGTCACCACATGGATTCTCATCAGCTGAGCGATGAGGGGTTTAGTTTGCCTAAGAAAAAGAAATGAAAAAAAAAGGGAGAAATGCATTCGTTCATCAAACGGATTTACATATGTAGTTGCTTTATCGATCATGACGAGAATTCTGCGTACCTGCAGGGGCAAGGGAAGTAGAGAGGCATATCGGTCGTGCTGGACGTCACCTTGTTTCCGCTGTCCTTCACTATGCCGCTTCCGGTCGCCTTCAGCACCTTGTCGGGCGCGGACGCCATGAATCGGTGCCCGCGCGGACACTCGTACTCCACTCCAACGAATATTTTCACGACAAACTCCTTGCCGCCTTTCGACTTGCGGCCGCGTATGGCATTCATGCTCTGGAAATTCTTGCCCCCTCGCGAGGAGTAACCGCCGTGATCGCCCACCAACGGCCACAGCGGATTCCGTTCCTTCTGGTGCTCCAATCTGTGCGGCCGGACATTTATTTTCTCTTGGGTAAACATTTTTCCCGCAGATACACGGTATGTGTAGAAATCTCGAAACTTTCTCCTCACCTTACGGTCACGTCCCACGGTAGCAGAAACGCGGAGGTGGGGAACACTCCGACCTGATGCTGCAGTCCTAAATTGTGAGAGTAAAGGCTGCTCGGGCCGAGACATATCAGCGACCAGCTGGAGAATTGCGGCAGCAGGCCGGCCGGTGATTCGGTGTGCAACATTCCCGGTAGATATTCCGTCGTCGACGGTTGTCTGACCAGAGACTTGTCTGTAAAGCGCATACATCCGTATAGATTTCCGGTTAAATGCTTAGGCTCGTACTTCAGTAGCGATGAGACACCTTTAGAGTTCTCCGCGTCGCTGTCAGTGACTTCTATGACAACTTTGTGCGAGTCGCTCGGCGTCAAACTCGTCTTGCTGCTCAATCTCGGAATGTCTTCCTCTATCGGGTCGCTCGTCGTTGGCGATTGACCGCCGCTACCGTAATCTGTACTTTCTGCAATATTTCCAGACATTAAGGGGGGAATGTCCTTTACTAAAAAAAATAAAAAAAAAACCAGTGATTTTTAAGATTTTTTTTTAGCTAAAATGAAATTGAATAATTTCAAAAGTTTAACAGTGTTTTCCTGTATATTTGAGCAATGAAAACAATTTTTTTATTACTAATATGTTTTTTAATAATTAATAAACTGCCTTGGTAACGTCGCACCGCTGAAGTTGTGTACAATCTAAGAGACGTAATTTTCGTTTAAAATAAAAAACCAAATTTTTTCTTAATTTGTAAAATTATCTTCTTTATAAACTAACAATATTACCAAAAAAAATTAAATTAAAAAATTTTTGTTGCAAAGGTCAAATTTTTTCATGAACATTTTAACTTTTTTTTAATTGTTATAACTTATCTAATTTTTGAAATTTTTAAAGTTTTGTTAGTTCATGTAAAAGATAATTTTATAAAAATTAAGAAAAAATTTGGTTTTTTGTTTCAGACAAAATTACGCCTCGTAGATTGTACACAATCGAACAATTCCAATGGCGCGGCGTTATCAAAGCATTCTATTATTTATTAAAAAAACATTTATTAATAAAAAAACAATTTTTTTATTGCTTAAATATACAATAAAACACTGTTAAACTTTTGAAATTATTCACTTTCATTTTAGTTAAAAAAAAAATTCTTAAGAATCATCGTTTTTTTAAGGTTTGTAAAGCAGAATCCTCCCCTTAAACGCTCGATAAAAACATTTCTTTTATTGCCATTACTTGCCATTCAAGGTATCGGCACCTAAACTGCAAGCTTGCGTGTCTTGTGGCGTAGAGGATCCGTTGCGGCTGAAGGAATCGTGACGTTTCGTTGCTGGAAATAATTGTGCTGCTCTGTAAAAGAAAAAAAAAACCATTAGGAAGAAATCTCTAACAGACACGACAATGCTGTACATACCTGTAGTTATGTGTGCTGGGTTGAAACACGGGGAACTGCACGAGTTCCAATTGCGCGCAACCGCATTGTTTCGCCAACATCTGGAAATAGTCGTAATTCGCCTGTTTCAGACTAAATGGATCTTCCCTCGAGCCTTGAATCCTGCCGCAATTGCAAGCGCACACATATCTGACGCCGCTGCAATGCTCTCTGACGGGTAGTTCGCTGCGGGTGATAATAAATAAACAAATAACATCGATATTGTGCGAATATAATTTACATTAAGGATACGTAATAATTTATTATAAACAAGAAAGCTTGCCTGTCGTCCTCCCTGGGCTCGCTCTGCTCCCCACCTCCCGCACCTTCGCTACCTCCCCTGTGCACGGGATTCGTGCAAGGATGACCGGTGAGCGACAACACTTCGCACATCTGCCTGCCGGCTCGCCAGTGCTTGTCACACTCGGCTTGTAACTTCTCGCTGAACTCCTCGAACAGCGGACCGCGGGCGTGCATCTCGAACATCCCCATCGCGTGCGCCAGTTTCGATTCGTGATACGCCCTGGAAGGCAAAAGTTTGTTTGGAACGCGACGTCGACATGAATCGCACGATCATCTCAAGCAGTTCTACCAGCTTTACCTTGTATAGTGCTGCGGCAAGTTTTCTTGATACGCCTGTAGAGCTCTCGGAAGTACCTTGCTGCATCGGCTCTTGCTAAATTTCACGTCGGTGTCCAACAAATTATGAAGCGCCAACAGCTCCTTGTCCGTCCCGTGAATAAAATAGTCGAAAACTTTGTTCGCCACTTGGCAAAATATGTTTAAAGTAGGTATCTGCAAAGTGTTCAGGAGTGAGAAATTGCTTTAATACTAATGTTGCCTAGTAAATATTGATTGCATTATTGAGTAAAACATTCAGTAAAATATTAACGATTTGTTTTGTAATAATGTACCTCAAAATGAGCTGGTACGGAGTGTCGACTGACGTTGTCATCGAATCCTCTTGCAAAAGCCAGATTTATATGCTGTTGCAAAAACGATCTAAACGAGTGAATCTCTGTAAATGAATAAGGATATATATATATATATATATTTTTTATGATCCATTGTTTCTACATCTACTTCCTGTATCATTATCCATTTTAGTCTCACCAGCCTCGGTGTCGTCCACGACGACAGAGTTCGAATCCAGACTAGTGAGGCTTTTCGACGTTGTACCGCTGGAACTAGTTTTACAACTCTGTACTAACTTTCTCGCCATGTAACCCAGCATGTCCTTCGAGTCTGTATTCCCGGTATGCACGTACACGAATTCCTGATTAGCTGGTATCGCGAACAAGGAATTCGAGCTGTCAACAAAGAAAGTGATTTCAATGTTTTCGTCGAATTTGTTTTAGGCAGATCGTACGTTAATTTTATACCTGATATTCGTAACAATCCTGTTTTTCCTTAATACATGGTAAATTTGATCCTCGAGGGAGTGTTCTAGTTTCTTGATATTAGCCTCATTGTCCGGTCCTGGTTGACCCTGGAATACCGCAGGACAGGTTTCGAAGTAAAATAACACTCGCGGCGAGCAGGGCCTGGCATTCGAAATCCAATCCTTGGGGAGGCTATGAATGCAGCTCAACACGTCGGAGAGTTGCGGAGAAATCTTTTGCCTATCACAAAGAGCGCCGTAATCATTATTTCATTGACAGAAAATTCGATATATAAATTTTATCTGCTCATATATTTCCTTAATATATAATGTCCATTTCTATCAATATATAGATTAACTTTGATCTCGATTTAACTTAATTTTTGTCTTTTTCCAGTTCTAAGAATTGAAAGAAGATAAGGAATAAATTAAAGCGAGATGGAAGTTAATCTACATTGATCAGAAATGGGCCTTAAGTCAAACGTTGATCTTGACTGAAAACTCAAGTCTGATGCTAACCTGACTATGTCCATAGCACGGAACAGATGCACGTAACTGTAGTCGAAGGTGTGCGTCGGATGAGTGAGCACCATCACGTGGGATATGTGGAACAGCACCAGGAGCGCTCTCGCATATTTATCTTTCATGTGCGCCCAAACACTGAGGAAGTCCTTGCAGTCCTGCTTCTCCGTGAACTTGTCGTACTCAGCCTGAAGCATGTGAGCGTCCAGGAATCCCCTCAAGTGCAGGTAAACTGTCTTCTCGTTGGGATTATAATACCCCTCGATTTCACACTGTTAACGGAAGAACGTGCAGAGTCGGGATATTGTTTTATCAGGAGATAAGCAAAGTGCTAAAAGATGCCTCACCCACGACTGCTGATCCACCTCCGGTTTATCCAGGAGGTTCAGCTGGAGTATGGAACTCAGCATATCCGTCTTGCATCCCTTCGCCCGATACTGAGACTTGCCGAACACGGAGACGATCACCACCTTCTTGTCAGTCTCCGAAAAACTAAAAAAAAAAAAGCAAGGATGTCAACAGAAGGCAACCTCTTTCAGGTAACTTTCACGCAAGGAATGCTATTTAATGTTGTGTGCCAATTCAATCTCGAATTTAAAAAATACTGTTTCGCCCTTAACACATAATTCTTTACCTGTCCACGTCACATGGAAGCTTGAATTTACGTGGACGCATTGTCAATTGTGAAATGTTTACATTTAGAACGGAGTCGTGAACAGGTTAGGTTTCACGTTCGGAGAACACCAGCGATCTGCCACCAGATGGTATACATACAAACTTCCTCCATAGAGTAGTGGGAAAGGAAAATCTTCCCCCACTTACATTATGCTACCTGCTTTAGAATCCGAAATGAAAATTTCAAATTTCGAATATGAAAAAATCAGAAATTAAATATATATCATATTATATGTATGTATGTACATTTTATATATTTTATAATATTAATATTAAATTACAATATATATACACATGTGGAAAGAACGATTTTGTTGAAAGGTCTAAAAATTTTGCTGAAAACAGATCTGAAAATATTTTTTTGTTGAATTATCAAAATAATTTGTTGGAACTTGGAATGTTAAAACTGGTGAGCAGGTTGCTATATAAAACGTTTTGATATTCTAGCAATCATTTTAACTTTCAGACAAAATTATTTTGATTATTAAACACAAATTATTTTCAGATCTGGATTCAGCAAAATTGTTCTTTCCGTGTACATATATTTTGTTATTTTTTCATATATAAAAAATATGTTTTTTAATGTATATTTATATTATTTATATATATATATATATATATATATATATATATATTAAGTGTATATATTATATATTTTATGTATAAAATTCCACTTTCATTTTTCTACTTAAATTATATTAACGCTGATAATTAATGTTGATTTAAAAAATGATGGTAGTCTAATTTGTATTTGCAAATATTTGAAATAATGACTAGAAATTGATTTTTCAGCCGCGTCCACGTGATTAATGATAATCGACATTCTTGCCAACAGATTAATATATTCGTACATTTCGATGAAGTTATTATTAGTCGTAAAAGCACGTATAATTTTCACTTTTATTTTTCTACTTAAATTATATATTATCGCTGATAATGCGTTGATTTAGAAAATGATGATAATCGAATTTGTATTTGCAATTGTTTGAAATAGTGACCGTAAATTGATTTTTTAGCCGCGTCCACGCGAATAATGATGATCGACGTTCTTGTCAATAGATTAATATCCGCACAGTAATATTCGCACATTTGGATGGAGTTATTATTAGTCGTAAAAGCACGAACCACAATTACATAAATGCGACAGATAAATACGGCAACTCATTGAACAATTAAAGTTAATTTACAAAAAATTAAATTCTCTTACAGGTCGATTATTAGGGGTCGACAAACAATATGAGTTCTCTTCAAATAGGAGTGATAAAACTGATAATACATTAGTCGAAATTGTCAGTACGTTAATAGAAAAGTCAGGAGTTTAATCTAAAGATCACATCCAGCTAGGTCAAATTATTTAAAAAAAATCGTTTGATTCGTTTTTTTATGCATGAATATTTCGCTTAGCTAAAAAAGAGTTTCCATTTATTCAAATCGTATTAGTATTTCGCGCAGGAACCTATATTTATTAATTATCTATTATCCAGTTCTATTGTTAATAATAATATTCGCAATTTTTATTGAAGACAATCGAGATCACCAGTGCTGTTTGGCGGCGATTGCTGTACCAATCGCACTACTTGAAGCTGATTGTAACGGGGAAGCTGGTTAACGATGAACCGGACCACTCGTCCGAAACCGTCGGAATCGGACGACGAGATCGGCGACGCCCGGACGGAAGAGACCGGTAGCTTCGATCATGCCTTCGCGTTAACTCGCCACGGGATGCGGCTGCTGGGCTTCTGGCCGCGGGACACGCATCTTCTCAGCAATTTACGGTGCGGCGCGATCTGCGCGCTGATCGGCTTCATCTCGTTTCCCGGAGTCGTGCGAACGTACACCGTGATAGACACGGTGACGGATTGGAGCCTGGTGATGCACCAGGCCATCGAGGTGGTCCCGATGATCCCGCTTCTGGCGAGGTTTGTCTTCATGAAGGTGATGGCCAAGAACTTCCAACACATTCTTCACACGATAACCACTGACTGGGCGGACTTTCGCTACATGACGAAGCGGGCCCGACGGATTATGGCTTACTACGCTCGAAGAGGCAGGCGATTCTGCATACTTAGCACTACGCTCTTGACAATATCGATAATAGGTGAGAAATCGGACAATCAAGTAATATATCTATTATAAAATTTAGTTCAGACAATGTAATATCAGTTTAGATGTGTATAATTCCCGTCAGAATTTAGATTCCAGCTCTATTTGCAATTCCATCTCTCGCGCGAAGTCCATGGACGATTTATGATTCAGATTTCGAGAGAGAATCCCCACATACCATGAAATATTTTTTGTAAATCATTTTTTAAAATATTTCGTAAACGTTTGTAAAACATTCTAAATTATTACATTAAAATATTCTAGAAATATTGTGCAAATGTAAGAAATATTTTTATTGAAACATTTCAAGAAATATTTCGAAAACTCTGATTTCCTAGACATATTTATATTTCAGAAATATTTTTGAAATATTTCATGCTGTGTGGATCCCGCTTTTAATTTTGTATGTTATGTATCTGGATGTGTTTGCATATTTTTATTTTTATTTTGTGTATTTCGATTTTTTTATTTTTATAGCTCTTATCCTTTGCCGTACCGATTACCTGCAGTATCCATTTCCAAATGACAGACTAATTATTAATTAAACGCGAACGATGCTTTTTAGGATTCATGTTAACGCCGGTCGTGAGGATGTGGCATAGTGATAGTCTGTGGAACACGACGACCAGAGTCCTGCTTCACGAAGGGCTCTACTTCCGCAACAAGGAGTCACCCGTGTTCGAGATACTCTACGTCACGCAGGCGTTCGTAGCGTTCCTCGGCGCCACGGCAATCGCCACCGTCGACTGTTTCCTGTACATCATCGTGTTCCACGTGTGCGGACAGTTTGACATACTCGCTGCGATCCTGAAGCGATACGACGGCTCCGTCAGACATCATCCGTCAGACACGAAGGACCCCGTTGCGCGCAACTGCGCTTGCATCTTTTGCATCGTTCAGCGACACGTGCATATTTTAAAGTAAACCGACTAGAAAAGAGACTGGAAAAAGATTACCTCAGAATTAATAAGATCTCAAATTGACAATCTCTCGCATTTTTGTACGTAATTCTTTAGAAAGGATATACATTTTTCGGGAGATTTTCTCTCCCTGAGAACGTCGCGCATTGTAGAATTAACGATTGAATCTGCTTTCTAAATTGTGAGATTTTATTCAGTTCTATTTTAATTCTGTCTACTGTAATTTTGATTTTGTCCAAATGAAAGAAATTTCTAAGAATGTTAGAGATTTCTGCGACTTTCTCACGGCTCGAGCGCATTTGTATAACTCTGAGACTAAAAAGATATTTTGCCCTATATCTTCTCTAAATTTGACAACGACAGTATCATTATATTAATTATTAATTTCAGGTACGCGAGTATTATAGAAAAGTCCTTTCGCGACTTCCTTCTCTTACAATTATTGGGATACTGGGTCAGCTTAGTTTTACAGGGACGCGAACTTATTTTGGTAAAGAACATTTACCGACTCTTTTCTCTAATTAAACGTGTACAGCAAAAAAATATTTATATATCACTGCGTATGCAATAATATATATATACGTGTGTTATTGAATAGGAAAATCTCTTGTTCCAGTACGTTCGACACAGCAACATCCATGGCAGTGTTACGTGCATCTTATACGTGCTCACGATTATGTACTACATTTTCATATATTGCTACGTTAGCGAGTGCATCATCGAGAGGGTAATTCACAAAGAAATATATGTAGATAAGAATTCTGTATTTTTAATGATAAACTTAATAAAACGCGATTTTACGCGGTGGCCGCGACGAAGAGCGAAAATATTGCAACGATAGCGCATGACCTGGAATGGCTAAGTTTCCCGCGGGATACTAATCTGCCTATCATAGTAGCACGCGCAAGAATACCCTGCAAGCTTACCGCAGGAAGATTTCTTACCTTATCCTTCCACTGCTACCACATGGTAATTATACTCGTCATATATTGCGAAACGTGATATATATATATATATATATATATATATATTCTACGTTATATTTTAAAATATATATGCCCGTGAAAAAGAGAAAAGAAAGAAATAATAAAAATATGCACATATGATTGCATCTGCGATAAGATTTCTAATCTTATCCCAGAAATACGCGTCACCTGGAACGCTTGAAATATTTCACGTATTACTGTACCGGAAGAGATAATTTCGCTGATAATAATCGCTCGCGAATCCAAGCTCGTTCTACGTCAATCTCCTCCCCATTCGACCGCGTTCCGCGAAGCTGGCTTTCCTGGTGAACGTCACGTGAGAAGAAAGCGACCATGGACTTTCCACGAACGGCGTTCCCGCCCGGCAGAAGCGGAAAAAGCGCGAGGTAAAGCGCACATTACGCTGATCGCGGTGGTGCGGCGAGCGAGCGTGCAGCGCGTACCCGCGCCGCCGCCGCCGCCGCCGCC